AGTGCCAGGAAGTAGGACAATTGAGTGCCAGGTAAGTAAGGCAAGTGAGTGCCGGGTAAATAAGGCAGGTGAATGCCAAGTAAGTAAGGCAAGTGAAGGCCATGTAAGGCAATTGAGTGCCAGGTAAGCAAGGCATGTGAGTGCCAGGTAAGTAAGGCAAGTGTGTGCCAGGTAAGTAGAGTAAATGAGTGCCTGCTAAGTCTAAGATCAGTGAGTGCCAGGTGAGTAAGGCAAGCGAGTCCCAAGTGAGTGCCAGGTAAATAAGGAAGTACCAGTTAAGTATGACAGGTGAGTGCCAGGTAAAAAGGTAATTTAGTGCCAGGTAAGGTAAGGCAAATGAGTGCCAGGGAAGTAAGGTATGTAAGTGTAAGTTCAAGATAAGTAAGGCAGGTGATTCCCAGGTAAATAAGGCAAGTAAGTGCCAGACAAGTAAGGCAAGTTGAGTGCCAATAACAATGCATGTGAGTGCCAGGTAAGTAAGGCACGTGAGTGCCAGGTAAGTAAGGCAAATGAGTGCCAGGTAAGTATGGCAGGTGAATGCCAGGTAAGTAAAGTGAGTGACAGGTAAGGTAATCTAGTGCCAGGGAAGTAGGACAATTGAATGCCGGGTAAGTAAGGCAAGTGAGTGCCGGGTAAATAAGGCAGGTGAATGCCAGGTAAGTGAGGTAAGTGAAGGCCATGTAAGGCAATTGAGTGCCAGGTAAGCAAGGCATGTGTGCCAGGAAAGTAAGGCAAGTAAGTGCCAGGGAAATAAGGCAGGTGAATGCAGGTAAGCAAGGCAATGAGTGCCGGGTAAATAGGCAAGTGAGTGCGGGTAAATAAGGCAGGTGAATGCCAGGTAAGTAAGGCAAGTGAAGGCCATGTAAGGCAACTGAGTGCCAGGTAAGTAAGGCATGTGAGTGCCAGGTAAGTAAGGCAAGTAAGTGCCAGGGAAATAAGGCAGGTGAATACCAGGTAAGCAAGGCAAGTGAGTACCAGGGTAGCAAGACATGTGAGTGCCAGGCAAGTAATGCAAGTGAGTGACAGGTAAGTAAGGTAATTTAGTGCCAGGGAAGCACGACAAATGAGTGGCAGGTAAGTAAGGTGAGCGTCAGGTAGGGCAAGTGAGTGGCAGGTAAGTAAGGCAAGTGATTGATAGGTAAGTAAGGTAATTTAGTGCCAGGGAGGTACGACAATTGAGTGCCAAGTAAGTATGGAAGGTGAGTAACAGGTAAGTAAGGCAAGTAAGTGGCAGTCAAGTAAGTGACTGCCAGGTAAGTAAGGCAAGTAAATGTCAGGTAAGTAAGGCAACTGAGTGCCAAGTAAATAAGACAATGAGTACTAGGTAGGTAAGGGAAGTGCCAGATAAGTAAATCAAATGAATGCCAGATAAAGAAAGTAATTAGCCACAAGATAAATTGAGTAAACATAGGGTCCTATGTATGGAAACGGGTGTTAGAAAAGTAAGGCAAGTGCGCTCTGGTTAAATAAGTAACGACCAGTAATGATAGTGAGCAATCGAGTGCTGGTAAGTAGGGCAAATGAGTGCCAGATAAGTAAGGCAAGTGAATGCCAGTTAAGTAAAGCAAGTGAGAACCAGCTAAGGCACGTGAGTGCCAAATAAAGCAGGTGAGTGCCAGGTAAGGCAAGTGAGTGCCAAGTAATTAAGGCAAGTGAGCGCCAGGTAAGTAAGGCAAGTAAGTGCCAAGAAAGTAGGGTAAATGAGTGGCTGGTAAGTAAGGCAATTGAGTGCCAGGTAAATAAGGCAAGTGAGTGTCAGTATAGTAAACAGGTGAGTGCCAGAAAATTAAGGCAAGGGAGTCCCAAAAGAGTGCCAGGTAAGTAAGGCAAGTGACTGCCCTGTAATTAAAGCAAGTGTGTTTCAAGTAAGCAAAGTTAGGGAGTGCCAGGTAAGTAAGGCAAGTGGTGCTAGGTAAGTAAGGCAGGTGGATACCAAGTAAGTAAGGCAGGCGAATACCAGGTAAGTAGGCAATAAGTGCCAGGTAAGTAAGATAAGTGAGTGCTAGGTAAGTAAGGCAAGTGAGTGCCAAGTAAGAAGGCCAAGTGGGTACCAGGTAAGGCAAGTGAGTGCCAAGTTAAGTAAGGCAGGTGAGTATCATGTAGGGAATTGAGTGCCACGTAAGTAAGGCAAATAAATGCCAGACAAGGAAGGTAAATAGCCGCCAGATATATTTAGTAAATAAAAGGTCCTAGGTAAGGAAAAGGGCGCCAGAAAGTGAGGCAATGAACTCTAGATAAATAAGTAGCGTCCAGTGGCTGGGAAGTAAACTGATCGCAAAGTTGTAAGGTAAAAGTGAGCACCTGGTAAGTTATATAATGTGAGTGATCGGGAAAGCGAGCCCAGAGTTAGTCGCAACTTAAGCACTGTTGTTAAAGGTTTCTACATCAGCTCCACCTGCGAAAACATTTTTAAGATATAAATTACATTTAAAATCAGTCTATTGGCATTTGGTAACATACAATAAAGAGGACGTGTCAGCATAACTCACATTAAATTCATTTCCATTCAGGTCTTCGAACATCCTGAATCTCTCTCTCTCTCTCTTTACATACATACATGCATCTATATACATATATACACATACACATACACACACACACACACACACACACACACACACATATATACGCACATACACACACATATAAACACACACACACACACACACACACACACATATATATATATATATATACATATATATATACACATTTGTATGTATATATAAATAGCTATGCATGTGTCTACACACACATACAAACACTAATACACACACAGTACATATACATGTATATATAGACACATACATAATTACACACACACACACACACACACACACACACACACACACATATATATATATATATATATATATATATATATATATATATATATATATATATATATATATATATATTATATATATATATATATATACAGCCAACAACAAAAGCGGTGACGCCTCGCTAGACCTGGCACGTAGAGATCATGCCCTACTTGAAATGAGGCCCACGTTAAACAACTAGGACATAGTTAGGATGGTTCGAATGTGAGGAGGAGGGAAGTGACGGAAATCAAGCAAAGTGTAATAATGACTGAAATATATATGGAGAGAGAGGGGGGACCGCTTTTTTCCTGTTTGTTAATTTGATGGGTATATGGATCGAGACTTCCTTAAGAAGTAAGTTATCGTATATCATTTCGAAAATTATTATCATAAAATCTTTTCACATCGTTTTTTTTAATTCCTTATCAAATTTTCTACATATAAAATCTTAAATAGCTTGGGAACTGACTATTCATATTAACAATCGTCAGACGGAAACATCCTTCGTTTGCATTATCCCACGGCCGTATATTAATATTTCCTCTGCATTATCCGGAGCAGCTAGTCTTTCTCTCGCTCCTCCGTCTTATATCACCTGGATACGCTATTTAGATTATAATAAACTTTTGATATGTTATTTGGAAAATAAATATTACTCATGGCAATATTTTATACGCCATTATGTTTTTCAAATGTTTACAATTATTTCATTACCAAAAATAACGAAGCGCTGAAACGACAAATAAGGCATAAGAATAGATAGCGTCAAGGATAAGGGAATATTTCCTTAGCTTTGGTTAGAGTGGAGCTAGCGTGAGCCGGGAAGACGGTCTAAACACTGTCACCCAATAATTTGACACTAAAAAATATGTTAATAATAAGTTTCGCAGAACCTACATCCTATATACCCCACCATCATTATATTAATGAACTTCTGTCATTTCATTTCACATCATCTATTTTCACCAACAGTTTCGGAAACAATATGATAAATTAGGTTATTTGATGATGCACTTCAAATTATATATTTTTTATCTCAAACTTTAAACATATTATAAAATAAATACTTTCTATATGCATATGATTGCGAGGGGCAGAGCCAAGTGGCCCTCATACTCAAGCTAACCCAGCCAAACCGTGCTTCGTGATTCAAACCACAACTGGAGTTCATGGATCGTAGGAGGCACCTAAACGAAATAAAAGGAAAACAAGGGATTTGGTACCTAAGCCGTTACACCTCGTTACCCTCGAAATTTTTGGCCAAAACCATTTGTTAATTTTTGGTAGGTCAAGAGGCGCAATTTGAGACGGTGCATTATTCGCGCACCCACTAATATTATTCATAATGTGTGCGTGAGAGAGAAGGGAAAGGGGAGTGAGGACACACCTACATATATATGTGCGTGTGTTTACACACGCACACACACATGCACACACACATACATTATATTCATATGAATATATATGTATATACATACACACAGTCCTCTCTCTATGAATACATACACACACACACACACACACACACACACACACACACACACACACACACATATATATATATATATATATATATATATATATATATATATAATATAATGCATATACAGTATTACAGAATGTATATACAGTATGTGTACATAAATATATACACATTGGAGTGTTTCTCTTTATGCATATATGTTTCAACATACATATCAATACAAATGCACACACACATCAAACGCATATATAAACACACGCACACACACACATATACACATATATTTCTTTCTTTGCGTGTGTATGTGTGTCCAAGTGTTCTACTTTAGGGGAAAAACAGCTCACAGCTGTAGATATTGAAATATTCTTATTTCTTTTTCATACGAAAATCGAGAGAATTTGCCTAGGTGGTGTTATTTCAGAAGCTGCAGTCTCAGCAAATATCAGATATATATTGAATGGTAAGAGAGCTCGAGGGACAGTCGGCGGTACTATCAGGTGAGTCCACTGGTGCATGTTTTTCTTTTTTTCTTTTATATGCATGCTTAGATATGATTAATAAACATATATCTTCATAGTAAACGTAAACGTATAAGCGTCATAATAATTTCAAATGTACTTTTTATTATGATAATTTCAATCGCATTTTTTTTCTATCTACTCTTTCATGTGACCATATTTGTGCAGACGAAAAAATGTTGAGGATCGTAAGCCTGGCAGTGACTTTGGCCGTGTGCGTGGCACGACCCAACCAATGGGACGACCAGCTTGGGCTCTTCCCTGCCGACGGCGGAGACTCTCAGCCCATCTTGCCTCGCGCCGTCGCCAACCCTACCACGCCCAACCAGATACTCGACGCAGTGCTCGAAGGAGCTATCGCATACATGGAGTAATATTTTATTAGTAGTGATCTTTTTTTTTTATTTTTATCATTCCTTATCATATTGTATACTGATTTCATAGTCTTCTTCATAACTGTTGTCCTTTAACAGAGCACTAGGATGGTGTGGATCCAAAAACGTGCAGAACGGAGAGTCAAACCTGCCCTTCCAAGTCAACTCTGACGGAAGCAGTTCCGAGAACTTCAGCATCACTAAGGCCAACGTGACTGGACTCTGCTCCCTGCGCCGCTCCAAGTCCGCTTCCTTCAACGCCGACCAGGTATGAATGTCAAATGAAAAGAAAGATGAAATAGCTTAAGGCATTAAGTATTTAACGTCTGATTATTAGTGACCTACATTATGTATTTTACAGAGTGTGCTTTCCGGTTCAGTTGTCGTGGAAAACGCTCGTGCCAACGCCGACTACACGGTAACCTTTGCCGGTGTTGGAGAAGCTCCAGCCCAGACTGTTTCTGGTCAAGTTGTAGAGCGTGTGGACAAGCTGTTCGCAGATATCCAGATCAACTTGGACAACCTTGTGCCTCAGAACATCGCCAGCTACACCGCAAGATCGGGTCACGACCTGCTTGANGGTAACCTTTGCCGGTGTTGGTGAAGCTCCAGCCCAGACTGTTTCTGGTCAGGTAGAGCGTGTGGACAAGCTGTTCGCAGATATCCAGATCAACTTGGACAACCTTGTGCCTCAGAACATCGCCAGCTACACCCAAAGATCGGGTCACGACCTGCTTGAAGTGCAAGCAACTTGGACGGCAACAATGAACGTTCACAGCGCACAGGAGGCTTCGAAGATTGAGAGAACCAAATGGCTTCCAAGGGTGAGAAACAAGTCCATCCAGGATATGAAGAATGCTTGAAACTCAAGAATGATACTGAAGAAACTTGTGAGTGTATGGAGAGACAAATAAAGTATTGCAATCATGAAATTTGTCTACCACATTTATGAATCTAGATACGAAAAATGCGTGGTTTTACACACTGAGGCTTTATAGACCAGTAAATATGTGAAGAGGTAAACGTGCAATCATTAACCTCGCTTAGTTCTCCTTTTCCCCCAAAGGGAAAATTTTATGATTTGGCATCTTTAATCTACTATTATATATATATATATATATATATATATATATATATATATATATATATGTGAGTATATTCATACATAAATAAGTACATATAACAATCTCTCACATGTATATACATATACATATATATAATACATATATGTATGTATGTATATGTATATATATATGTACATGTACAGATGACTAGAAGGAGTGGATACAAAGAGGACACATTTGGTATGGTCTAAGTATGTCTGAGTCTGAAACATCAACACACAATAACAATTATGTTTTTGGTTTGTTACACACTTTAGTGATTTAAATCCCATCGGAATATTATTCTACTCAGAAGAAAAATCGTTATGTAAACTTAAACATCTTGCTTCAGTATAATCAGTTATAGCAGTACATTTCTCACACAAGCCAGCACATCATACCACTGTCCGCACTTAGGCGACATACCGACATACCTTTGGGGTCCCATAAAACCAAGAGGGAGGGGGCGACGGTCAGCCTGAACATTATCGTAAGAACGTGTAGCTAGGCTTTATGCTGCGTCCGGAACTCCTCGTCTTGCTCATCCAGGCAACTTGTCCAAGAGCAGCAGGACAACGATGCCGCGTTTTTGGAACCTCCAAGACACTCGCTGCCCAGAATGCAACCAGCTCGAATGTAAACATTCACTCATTTATCATACCCGGTATCTTTATTTACACGCTGCAAGGTTTTGTAACTTCTTTGAAGGCCATAAAATTATCAATCAATACCTTTGTGGTTGCCTGCAACTTCCAATGTTTACATAGAAAAGCTATTGCCATCTCCAGCTCGCCCACCTTCACAGGAGGGCGAGATGGACGAGATGGACAACTTGTCCAGGACGGGAAAGTAGAGGTTCCGAACGGTGAAGACATCTTGTCCAATGGGTCTGGACGAGCAGGGCAAAGGAGTTTCGCAGCATTGCAATCAGACACACGGCGCCCAAGATCATGGCATCTGTGCAGCTTTGCTAATAAGTAACAATGTCCCGTGCCCAGTGGCAAGATGGCCCACTGGCATAACGAGAGGTAACAATCTGAAAACCCACACTACTATCCCGCCAGTCTTGTGATAGGCAGACAAATAAAGTGGCACAAGTAAACATAAATGCAAATAGTATTGTGCAAAATGGTCGAGAAAATATAACTATGAAGACATCACGAGGTTAGAGAAAAAATCACTCAGGTCCCAACCCAGCATAGCAAGTACCCTTAGTGATAAATAGGTGAACACGAGTGCTCATGTGTACGTAAATTACGATCCTTTGCATTCATGTTTTCAGGTTTCACTTTCGAATAAAGGCGCACCCCCAGTACATGTGAAAATTAATTTTAGCACTCCTCATTTTTATCGGCAGGAGGGGCAGCCTCCTCCCCGCCCTCCTGCCAGCACGCCACTGCCTCTTTCTCCATAGCAATGCTCCCTCCCATGTATTTCCGACGAAGATGTATTCAAAACCAGTCAAATACAACTCCTGTATCGTGAAGATATTTATTCTCATTCATACCTTTCTACATTTGTCAACATGAATACGGTTCAGCTCCCTCCCGTGTTTCCTGCTGGTTTGTGAGTTTCGATGGAAAACCTTTTGGCATCTACCCAACGGACTTGATTTGGCTCTCTCTCATTTCTTTGTCTTTCCGTCTGAAAAAAATGATAACACAAAATCCATTTCTTTTAATTGATGATTTAAGTCCCTAATTGTTTAGAAACAATTACTTAGAAATGCGTATTGATCTTGATGGAACCTGTGTTGAAAAATAAAATTCATGTATTCCTCAGGTAGTCTTTAAGGCTCCATTTCAACGAATTTTTGAAGCCCTTTTGTATATATGTATGTGTATATTCATATATACATACATACACACACACATGTATGTATATGTATATTCATTTATGTATTACGTATGTAGATATACACATATGTATGTACGGACGTATGTATGTATATCCATAAATACATTTATATACCAGACTGCTGAGTTTGCTTTGCGCTCGGAATTTCTTCCGAGCGCACTTTTCATTCAAGGAGCGCACAATTCACATTAAGTGCACTCTTTCTATACGCTTCCTGAGAAAGTTAATAAAAAGAGAGAAAATTAGGCCTAATATACCTATACCTAAAGTTTTCATGAACGTTCATAATGTTCGCGATCACAAAGGTAAAAGGAATTCTTTCTGATGCTAAGAAAGGAAGACGATATCTGAAGGGCGCTTATATATATGTACATATATGTACATGTATATATGTATATATATATATATATATATATATATATATATATATATATATAGTATATATACATTACATATATATATATATATATATATATATATATATATATATATATATATATATATATATATATATATATAATGCGTGTAAGTCTATATATGCGAGTGACTAGTTTTCTAGATCATTTTTTAAATATTCATGGAAAATAAGAAATCCTAAAAACAGGTTGAAATGCAATAAATTTTAATCACAAGTAAGTGTACATCATCGAGACAGGTAATAGAGACTTCTATTTGCCCGTAGTGGAAGCGAACAATATTGCTTAACACAATTTTTAGCCGAAGAAGAGCCACCCGAAGGTGATGGTGGAGCCAGTGGGGAGAGTGAGCGTGGTGGTGAAGCACCTGGGAATGAAACACAGCAGGATGCAGCGGGTGAAGGTGACGCTCACTTGACGACGGTCTTGAACACTGTCATTCTGTTCTTCAGTGACCAGTTTGTAAACGGGAAGGTCGCCACAGAAGTTGGCAAGATCCGAGCCGATCTCCTCCTCAGGATTGTCGAGGGAAACAGCGGAAACTCTGACGTCAGACTCAACCCTCATGCCATCATCCTGATGGCCTTTGATGAAGGCTACTTGTTGCTCGAAAGATTTAACCAGTCGCCTCACGTAACACGCTTCCTGGGATACCACTCGAGATGCTGCTAGACCCTGCGAAGTGCATAAATTTTGATATATTTATGGTCATTTCCCAGGAATTCATACAACTGAACAAATTGAAGAATTTCTCATGCATTATCAGTTCAAAAAACAATAACGTAAAGTTCATCATAGTATCCAGTGATGACCTAACAAGTATTACTTACCACACTATAATCCTCCAGAGTTTCCACGTCATCGAAGTCGTCGGATTCAGGCATGTGGAAGTGAATTTTCATGGCAAGGCGGTCTACATCCACTTTCATGCAGCTGTTTTCAGCGGCGCTGTTTCCCTTGTAACATATTTGGTAATCCTACCAAGAAAAACGGTCATCTTTTGTAATATTAAGTATGCTTCACATGAGAGATAAACTGAACTGTTGTATATGTGACAGAAAAGGTAATAATTTCTAGCTTAAACATACACATCAAGAGCGTGTTCATACCTGAACCTCAGCCAGGGAGAAGCCTAAGAGGCAGGAGAGCATCAGCCAAGTGAACATGGTGTGACCTAGAAGGAAATGTGACTAATAAAGTAATATGAAAGTGAAAGATCTTGAAATACATCCATTTTCCGAACCCTGAACCTATATAGAAATCATAGTGAGAAACGGCCCGTGTTAGAGTTTCCAGGTGAATGAAGAGATAAAATAACGAAGGGATTATTATGGTACGGGATAAAAAAAAAAAAAAAAATCGATTATAAGCACGCATTTATACTACATAAAATGTGTTGCAAGAATTATACTATAGCACAT